TCGGATTAATGATATTATTTTAAAAGATGAATTAACTGCAATGTTCAAGCTGTGTATTATGACTGGCTAGTCCACAAAGTAGAACGATTGTAGTTTACTATACTATACTATACTGTCCGCATCAATTGAGCTGGAGAGTATGCGCGAGTGTCCCCCTCCCCCCTCCTTTTGCATCTCAGTTCTTAGCCATTACAAACCGTTGCCTGAAACGGTTAAAAATGAAACAAAACAGTTAGAATTCTAAAACTTCTGAAACACAGTTTTGACAGGGGTTTAATGACAATACTATAAACTTTTGTTTAAAAATGTGTTTGTAAACATAGAGAGTAAATATTTAAGTTTTAGCGGATTTCCCATGGGGAATAAGCCAATAAGCCATTACCGTAGGTCTCATGGTAAGACCTAGACTAGGAACCGATTTACTTTTTCGTTTTGAGGTCCCCAGAGGACAAGAACACCATCCGTTCAAATATATATATATATATATATATATATATATATATATATATATATATATATATAATATAGGGTAATGTTAACTTTTTAGGGATACCAGTAATGTAATTAATATTAATAGATATGAAAGAAATAATATATGTATATATATATGTATATATATATATATACATATATATATATATTATGCGGTATATTCAAAAAAGGTACTATGGCTTTTAATTTATGTGTATAAATATATTGTGTGTGTGTGTCCGTTGGAACGACAACTCGAGTAAAAATGATCGGATTTGATGATATCTAGTACAAACGTTTAACGGTTGGAACCAACGTTTATCAGAACGATTTCGCGAACCAGCGTGATTACGGAGTGTAGTTAAAGTTAGTTACGGAGAAAAGTAAAAAAAACTGTAGACTTAAAATTCCCAGGTTATTCATATTAGAATAAGTAAACTGTTATAGTTTGCTTGTTTATGCTGTTTATACAGCGTGATTGATATAAGTGTGCCACCTGTTTTATTCGAAAACTATAAGAGATATCAAAAAAAGTTAAATGGTAAGTGCCTTGGACTTTTTAATTTTAAAATTTTAGTCAATTGGAAAACATATTTTAGCCACAATTTTTTCAATATAGCCGCCAACTTTGATTTTTCTTATGAAACACCCTGTATTTTATGATGTATTCCAGTAGAAAACGCAATTTTAAGACCATTTTATTCTTGTTTTCTTTTTCGTTTCAAAGATAATAATGGTTAAAGTTGTGAAATTTCGAATAGTTTTCGAATAAAACAGCTGACATGCTTGCTTAGGTTTTTATCGAAACTCTTTCTCATACCGAAATAATATAATCAAACAATTACGGAAATATGCTTAGTCTGCAGGTTTGCTGCGGCGGCGGTATTGTATTACACTAGTCCAAATAGTTATGCGACCGTAGTCTGTTCTGACCTTCAACCACATTGACACCATTACGACAATTACGACGTAATTATTGGTAGTTTAAATAAGAGCTACAGTAACAGATGTTTAGTCTTATGAGAGTAAGGCAGTCTCTATCTATGAAGCATGTAGTCGGGTAAACACACTAATGGTGTCTTACGATATTTGTTTGGTCCAGGATTGATTTTTGCGTGTCTTATGTCCTTCAGGGAGTCAAGTAAAAAGTACCGCCAATAGATGAAACGTCGTTGTTAATTTTCTTTTCCAAATTATAGTTTCAATAGCGAAGGGTTTTTAAATAGATTTTGGGTTGACAAATACTTGAATGCAAACGTGGAAATATCAAGCCAGATTTTCACGCCCTAACAACTAAACCAAACCGACAACCACACAAGTTTCAAGAATATTTTTGAATGAAACCAAACACTACACTCAGTTCAACTAACACTAAAATCTAGCGTCAACAGTCAGCAGATTGACTTGTCTCGTTGTAGGTGCTTTGATCCGCAGAAATGTCAGTTTGCTTTTTGATGGTTTAAAAATGTGCTTTCCAGCCTAAGAATGTCCTGGCTGAGAACCGGCTGATCTTAGGCTGCAACAATACTGCCATCTCATTCATTCGACATTAATATCTTACGCTCTCCAGTGTGTCGGTGTCTTTAGGCTGCGGCGATCACGTTGCTCGCAGTATTAGGCGAGGGTCCAAGCCCTAGTATAACATGCTGTAAGGTGGGTCGTCCAGGACTGAGGCTGACCGTGACCTCCAGTCCTCTGCTGTGTCGAAGCGCCTGCAGATCCGGCGGCTTTGTGGAAAAGTTTTCCTGATTTCCTGATGGTAAATTCCTCAATCGTTGAGACTCCGGCTGATGCTCTGATGGTAGAGTTTCTCACGAACCATGGCTGTCGCGTAATCCGTCGCAGCGTCCGTTACTGGATGACTTCTACGCGCTTCCTGTTCGTTTTGCTGGCCAGTACCCACCAAGTCTCTGAAGCTTACATCATGCAGGAGCAGGAGCGTACTATTAATAGATGCTTGTACACTTTGGTGTTGTTTGAGAGCGGGCTTCTGGTGTTAAGCATAGTCCACATCAGTCCTAGGATCGCCTTCGCCTCGTTTACTTTCTTGTCAAGGTGTTGTTTGAAGCGTAGCCTCGAGTACAGCGTCACCCTTAAGTACTTGACGGTGTTTCTCCACGGGATCGGCTCTTCGTCAAACAGCTGGAGCACGTGGTATAATTTGACGTTTCCTGAAACAGATGGTATTGCTCATATCATCATTAAGTTTAATTCTCCACTTATCCTGCCAAGGGGATAGGCCGTCCATCTGGGACTGCATACCTCTGGCGTCTTGAGCTGGGCTCGCGCTTCGGCAAAGCAGAAGAGCGACATCGGCGTACAGTGACAGCCTAACACGTGGAACTGTAGGCATGTCATTCGTGTAGATTAGATAGAGTACTAGTCCTAGGACGCTACATTGGGAAACTCCTGCCTCACCAGTCTCACGAGCGAGAGTTAGCTCAGTGGTAGAGCATTCGCCTGCTGAAATGACATTGAATGACATGAGTACGTATATGCACGGCGGCAGTCATATTTTCCATACTATTCATTGTATATTCTCTATAAATAAAAGCTTTATTCTCCATTGTAGAGTATGAATGAATAAATGAATGAAAAAAGTGTTTTATTTTACAAATTACATAATAGTCTACCTCCATATGTACAACATATACAACAGTAACGTGAACATAAGATAAAATACATTGTAATTGTAAATATACATTGTAAATACCATTGTAGAGTAATCACAAATGTCAGTATCATAGATTACAAATAATTCTACCTATGTGACGTTAGATTATTTGTAAATGGTTTTAAAATTTAAATAGTTTGTGGAATGGAAACACTCCTCTTTAAGATCAACGCATTTTATGAACATTAACATGTAGAACGTATACTAAACTACATGGTCCATATTTCAATTTGTAAAATAACACATTAAACAACAACGTCATCACATAAGTTTAACACGGAGCTCTTAATGTCCCCCCTCTAAATGAGAGTTTTAAGAAGAAAATGTCACTGCCGTCGACTGACAATCAGCCCTTATTGTGAGAGGAAGGGCTTCAATAGCTTCTCTGCGGCTTTGGATTTTTTTACATTTGTGTTTTTATTATTGTTTATTATTGTTTTCTATTCATAGTCTGCCTTGATGCACTTGACCTTTAGTAGGCCTATTTGGTAATTACTATTATGAGGGTTGATTTTATGTTATGCAATATATACAGGGTCCTCAAAAAGTCTCGGAAGGGGAATTATCTAAAGCCATTGAAGATACTCAAAGCTTTACACATAGGCCTAAGTAATATATAAAAAAATATACTTAAAAGCAAATTCTAATTTTGTTCCATTACACTGGGGTCAGTTCACAAGGACTAATCCTTGTGAACTGACCCCAGTGTAATGGAACAAAATTAGAATTTGCTTTTAAGTATATTTTTTTATATTTTCCTACCTAAGTAGGAAATCTTTAGCGAGAGCAAAGGTAATACATCAAATTAACGGTCTCTACGAGGCGAATACATATGGATGGTGATGGTGAGGCGGCGGACGCACAATGCGCCGAGGGGGTGGGTGGGTGCCACCACGCCAGGTGTCCGTTTTCAAGGATAACCACTTGGCACTTTGCAGCAAGACAAAGTTACGTGATTTTATCGACTTGAGCAATAAGTATAGTGATGCGAAAGATTTTCCATAGATTTTCAAGGCTATGAAAATTATTTTTGACTTTTACTTACACACGTTTACACATACATACGCTCGCGTATAGAACAGCCTCAGTCCGGTGGGGTTTCGGCTCCCTGGACTGAAACATCACGAAACGTAACGTATGATTATCTACTTAAATCCAATAACCTGTTCTGGGGGGCTTTCGATCATAAAACTAACTTAGTATTAAATCCTTCACTAGCTGGTACAGTTAGAAGAATATGCTGGCAAATTAAGACAACAATATCAATTTGTGACTAGTTAGTTGTATAATTCTAACTTGATAATCAGAAAGTCGTTGGTTCAAACTAGACCACCACATACATACAAATCATATCGTTAGATGCTTTTTATTGTGCCATTTCACACACTTTTCTGGTTGGGAACATCTCTAACCACCAAAGAAATATTCCTCCCTCCCCCTCCCCAGAAAAACAGCTCGAGGGCGCTCTTCCGTAATGACTAGTAGTTTCAAACAAAAAATATTTCCAATGAAATTTTAGATGGGGTGAGATTTTATAGACCCACTAATGGGGATGACTCAAGGTTTATACAAATCAAATCTATCTAGGATTTTGATATCTCTTTTGATGAGGGCTAATTACCCTGCCACACTTGAGCACCGAATTTATACGAAACACGTTCAAAGTGATTTTACTGACTGAACTCAAAAACCCCCCTCGTTACAATTATTTTTTCACATTTTGCAGATCTAAGATGATCCCAGTGCTAGCCAAGCTGAATGCCCTGTACAAGTGGTACGTGCTGGGGATCCTGACCCTGGGCTACCTCATAGCGAAGTTGGGTCATTTCCTGATCGTATTTTTCACATTTTGCAGATCTAAGATGATCCCAGTGCTCGCCAAGCTGAATGCCCTGTACAAGTGGTACGTGCTGGGGATCCTGACCCTGGGCTACCTCACAGCGGAGTTGGGTCATTTCCTGATCGGCGTGACGAGCAAAGCGACTGCCATAGACGTGGGCTATGGAGACATCACTTGCCAGCTAAACCTGACCGAACCCCACTTCAACCTGACCCTCAACGATATGTGTAGCGCTGCACCGGACGAACAAAGGTAAATTGGCTTCAGTAGAAGTCACTCAATAGAAACATACTGAATAGTATAAGAAACAATACCTGATACACTGATGTATAGTAGATTTCATCTTTAGAACCTACGGGGCCTTTTCATGAGAAAACTGATTGAGGTTCAAAATTACATGTTTAGCCCGTGTGATGAGCAACATTTCCATCTTACTGCATAGCCTAATTTTTCCGAGGCTAACTAATGCATAAAATGAAAATGTATTTTTTACCAAATTACCTCTTATTTTAATATTGTAAGCTAACAGCTGTGTCGATTTGAGGAGTCGACTGATGTCGCTGATGCACACTCAAACAAAACTGAGTTTGTGAACTTAAGTTTACAATTTGTTTTGTGAACGCTTTTTACATTATTTCAGCATTTTCTTCGGGATACGGGATGGTTTTCGAATGTCCCAAGGGTTTCTTTCGGAAAACCTTAGATATGAAAACCATAGTAATGTAGCGAGATTCCTTTCCTTCCTACTGCAGATTACTCAGGATATCCGACAATTGTGATCAAATACCAACCATATTGTGAAACTGGAATAGTTTTTGATAACGTTTGACCTATCCAGGAGCAAGTTAGACCGTCTTTAGCTACACACTATAAAGAGATAGAAGAACTTAAAAGGTGATTATTACAGGTTACCAAACAAATTGTAAATAGTCACTGTAGGTGATTGGTGCTTGAGGTAACTGAAGTGAGGCAACATACCAGATACCTACGCCAAGGTTATATTGCCCAATCGCCTCGCCCATGATTCTACTTCACGTTTTATTCATAAATTAATTACCCATTCTAATGTTCGAGGTTATTTATAGAATCATGAGTGAACCTCGTAGCTAGTCCAGGAATCAAAAATCTCTAAAAATTCATCTATAACCAACATTTACAAAGAATAACAACAATAATTAAAACCAGAAGCTTGAGTAGGTTAATAATTAATTGTTATAACATCACCGATTTTAAAAATTACTTAAAGTCCTAATAATTATGAAAACAAAACGCAAAAATAAACTTAAAGGATACCTGAATGGGCTCCGAGAATAGTATCTCAGACCGTAGTAAAAAAACACTCCATTTATGATCATAGTCCGTAGCCTAAACTCCACAGTGATTAGGTAGAATTTATAAGAACTTTATTTCGATTGAAGCAGAAATAGCCAAAAAGACACAATAGGCGGTAATACTACAACCACCTAAAATTGCAGCCTCTCCGCCAGAACTGAAATATTTTCCTGCTACCCAACCTGACTACAATGGATTCCTAAGGTGGTCACTTTGGCAACTTTCAAGGAGAAACGCGATTAAAAAAATACAATATTTTTTACCTATTTCAATTAAATTTCCAAATTCGTCTTATCTCATTGCTTAGTCAAATTTCTTATATTTTAGTACTTTAGAGGACATACCAATTTAATTCAGTAATTTGCTATGCCTTTTTGCCATGTCGGAGGATTTTTGTCCATCTCTCTGTCTTCCACGACGTTTCTGGATCTGGAAATGTGTCCGGTTGGGATTTGATGTTTATGACTTACCTACCAACACCAACAATGAACTTCAAACAAAGAATAACCCCTACCACCCCTTACGTTACTAAATACACCAATCATTTCCCTTACGTATGATGGGTTAAAATATCATGAATTAAAGCGTATATAGGTAAATCGAATGTTCCAAAAGTCTAAAACCCCCTCACAAAAGTTAATTCAGAACAGATAGACTCTAGGATTACGTTTTCACTCTATTTACTGACTTTTGTTAGTTTTAACTGTCTTTTTTTGCTGTGGGGGTAAATTGTGAAGGAAAGTTTAGAAATCTCAAATGTAAACATGTTGGATTAAACCTCATTAGAAGGTTTCGAAGAACACATTGCCACAATCTTGTAAGAAGGGCCATATGGATATGGCAGCCCTTCAAAGTATGTTTGATTTTAGCGAATTTCCCTATAGGGAAGTAGCTATTACCGTAGGTGGCACGGTAAGACCTAGACCCGGGACCGATTTACTTTTTCATTTTGATGTCCCCAGAGGCCAAAAACACCATTCGTTCAAATTTTTATATATGTATATATATATATATATAGACATATATATATATATATATATATATATATATATATATATACGTCCGTGAACGCGATAACTTGAGTAATTTTTGTCCGATTTTGATGAAATTTGGTTTAAAGGTGTAAAGCGGGATAAACTTGAATGAGTTCGCGAACCAGCACGATCGGACCATGGGAACGGGGCTTTACGGGGGGTTTTATGGGGTAAAAATTGGTTTTTCTCACTTTTGACCCTCAAAACACAAAATTTCCCGATTTCTCTTTAGACCTTTTTAAAGAGCTTAAAAAAACAAATAATTTAGTACATAAAAGTATTTTTTTTCGATTATTAGTAACGGAGAAAATTAAAAAAATTGTAAATTTAAAATTCCCATGTTATTCTTATGGAGAATATTGTCAAATGTTGTAGTTTGCTTGTTTATGGATATATTTTGATCAAACTTAACAAATTTATTTATTTTGTACTAAGCTATCAATATTTTACTCAAAACACACTTTATTAGTTTCCCTGTAGCAGCAAACCTAGGTACTCGTTAAACCTAATGTTATTAAAATATATTTAACTGAAAATCAATTCAGACAAATGGAAATTCGCTTAGTCGGCAGGTTTGCTGCGGCGGGGGTATTAATATCTAAAATGTTATAAATATTAATTAGTTATGTACAGAACCTTTGTAGTCATTGCATCAGCAATAAATTCAAACAAACTTTGAAAGGCTGTAATTTTCAAACGAATAGTCATTTGCCGGTCGCGAATATCATGAATGAACAAAAATATTCAATTATAGTACAGTTATGTGTATCACTCTATGTTTATTCGTAAGTGGAATGATGTCAAAGTCTCAAAACAAATGCGTTACCGTGACGAAATAATTCATCATGTGTCTCCTCGTAGTTATGAAAAGTTCAAGTCCTAACCAACCGGTAAGCATGAATGTTGCAGTCTATCTATCAACACTTGATTATATTGGAGGGGTTAAACAAGTCCAGCGGTAGATGTTAAATAAATAGTTTCATCGCAAAACATTGTCCAACGCACTGAGTCAATCCCTATTAAGGCAAGAATGTTGAAGCAAATCTCGTAGGTTGTTGATGAAACACTAGCGTATTACCATTATAATGTCCCGGTTGCGGTTAGGCGAGTTGCAAGACATTCTAGTTCTGCGTTGACAACTCTCATGACAAGAGCACTGTGGCTGTGGCCCCTAGTAAAATCATCAAGCTTAAGGTTTCAGACAGCTCAGAGCTTCCAACAATCTATAATCAGTTAAATAGTTTCAAACACTAATGATAGCTAAACAGGAACAACACAAAATAATAAATACGCATAGAAACTATTAATAAATGTGCATACGTCTTTAAATATTTTACAGGAAATCAAATTACACGTACATCATTGCAAGTAACAATTTGAAATTTGTTACTCAACATTAATACACAAGTTAATACTTGTGACCCCTAATTAATTGATTAATTAATTACTAATTAATTGTGATACAAAATTAATATTTTGTATGTTAATTTGATTTGTTTGCAGTTCAAATCATGTTTTATCATCATCATCATCATCTTTATTGATTTCCCTCAAGGGGTAGGATACATAAAAAAATACATTTACAAAATACAATTCATGCAAAATAACCAAGGTTGGTAAATAAGTTTTACTAATAACTAGGCAAATAAATAATCATATAATTATTAACATGCAATAAATAATTCAATAAATATCTCATAAATAAATACTTTATAAACATAGAATACCAGTAGAAGAAAAATAAATTAATATTTACACTGATAGCTGAGCCAACATTCAAAATTAATTATATTCAAAAAACATTAAAAGAAAGATATCCGCATTGAATTTTTAAACCATACATTTAATGGGGTTTTGAGTCAAGAGGGGGGGAGGGCAGCTGTATGTTGCCTGCGGACCTTATTTTCCATTCATTCTCTAATATATCAAAAAATATTTTCAAATGTTCCGCAAACTCACGCAATGTCGACATATTATTTCCCATAAACATACTGTCCAATCCAGATTTGCCCATTCCATTGAACCTACATTCAATAAATGCATGCCATCCATTCTCTATTTCCCCACACAGTACGCATATTCTATTTCCTGTCTCATCTTTCCTGCACATCCACAGCCAGGTTCCTAATCTATATCTCGCTATCAGTGACCTCTGACTTGGTTTAAGTAAACAAACATACTCTGCTCCTGACCTTGGCACTCCAATCATCCTTATAACTTCAAAACTTTTCTTTGTCATCGCCTCAGTCCACAAATAAGAGTAACATGCATTCTTTAAAACATCTTTAATTTGTTTAATATTTTTAAAGCTAAGAGTATCACTTTGCCAGATCTCAATTAAATTAATATTTTCTAACAAGTGCTTTATTTCGCCTGACCATGAACTGTTGTTTCTATGATTTTCATTAACTTTTAAACAAGCTCTTTGTAATTTCTTATCTAATGATGTCTTTATTCTTACAAAATATATTATCGCTCTTTCTTTAGCTTTAAATGACGTTAATAACCTGCCAGCTTCCAAAATCGCCCCACTATTGGTTGTATTATTACTTACTCCCAATAATCTTTTACAATGTGCTATGCCTACTCTGTTTACAATTCTTTCATTACATCTTGCTCCCCATATTTCTGCTCCATACAAAGAAATTGTTTCTACTAACGCATCAAACATTCTATTTATAAGTTTTATTGAAATTTCTTTATTTTCATAATAAGTCTTTCTGACAGTCGAGGCAGCTACTTCCGCTTTGTTTGATGCTTAATCCAAGTTCCGTTATGATTTATCTCTACTCCTAAGTATTTGTACTCTTTCACAATTTCTAATCGCTTTTTCATTATTTGCCAACTAAATTTCTTACTAACTTTATGCCCTTTTTTCAATACCAT